CACTGCAGAAGAAGTGTGATTGTAGAAGATTATGTTGACAGGACAGTCATTGGCAAGGTTGCTGCGCTTGTCCCAGCTTCTAACTCGCAGTGTCTCAGCCCTGTGTCAGGAAGTCAGGGCTGGTAAAAGAACTGTAGAGACAGAATAAGGCATTTGGTAATTCGCCACCCTGAGGAACAACCGAAATGCCTGCAATTTTTAAAACTACAAAGTTGTAAAACTACAAAGAAGGAACACTGTTCCAGTGTTAAACTCTGGGGTTACGCTAGGCTTTTTTAATTCACCCTGCTAGAAAGACTGAGCTCAGATAGACCAGCAGTTCTTAGTGGTTGTGGTAGTTTGCCTGCCTGCTTGCCCGCCCATCCATCCATTCATCTATCCATCCATGTTTTATCTAATTTATATGCTGCTTATCTCACAGTTCACAAAGTAAACATGCTTGCTCTTGTGGTGTATTAGTGATATTAAATAGGAGGGGAAAAACCAGTCAAGCCTTTCTGAATTTTCATTGTGAAATCAGAGAACTTGAGCAATGGGGAGGTTGGTTGTGTGGAAGTGTCCTGTGTCATCACTTTTGACCTTTCAAGTGCTGAAGCTGCTCTGAATCATCATGGTAAGAAGCTCATGTGCAAAAAAAAAAAAAAAAAAACCCCAACACCAAAATCCACCATCCTATTTTCATTCAAGTAGATTACAGTGTAGTCTCTTCTAATAATAGCCCTTAGGAGGGATAGAAATAACTTATCAGCAAAAAGCAACTATTTTCAGTACAGCTGTAGTATCTCTTTAAACCACTGTTTGAAAGTAGGCTTGTCCTCATACTTATCTTTTTTTAATCTTGCACGGAATTACTTTTGACAGACTTGCTTGTGCAAGTAAAATAAAGCAAAGTGAATGGCTGCTTGCTCAAGAGGCTGTATTTTGAGATTTTAAACCAGCATTTGTTTAATATGACAATATTGCTTGACATCTCAATTCTTTTGACCAAATAGCTGTTAAAGTTCCAGCGCAATTGTTGGGATTGATATCTCTAAAAATAGCTATGGTGGAATGCAAACGTTATTCAGATAACTTCTCTGCCTACTGTGAGATGGTTTTATATAGATATTGTCCACCCATGCCTCTGAAAATCTGGATGCTCAGGGCATATTATTGCAGAGGGGTTGCACCATTCGCATGAAATCTGAGATAGAAGCTAATACATTGATTTGTGAATTAAAAAAAAAATACAAGCACATGCAATTTCAGTTTTAGAAAACCAGAATGACATTTTAAACACATAGTATGTAACTAAATAAAAATATTTTATCTGATCCTTTAAAAAATACAAAACTAATAAATGCTTTTACTTCTCTCAAATAATCGTTTTCAAATTTACTAAGAGATGAAAATCAGAGTTTCTGCATTCAGATACCAAGACATATTATACGTCTTGCCAGTTGAGAAAATAAACAAAGCTTCAGGCGGATATACTATTTTTGTAATAAATAATGTATAGGAATAATATCAGCATACTATTGTAAACAGACACTCCCATACAGTAAATATGTCAATCTTTATAGGTGGCAATCTTATGTACATTTCATTGGGAATGAACCCCATTATATTTGATGATACTTGCTTTTTAAAAAATAATGCAGAGAATATGGTTGCAAATGTCAAAACTGTACAGAAAAATAGAAATGCAGAACTGGGTCAATACATCATTAATTATTAAGAATAGAATTCACATTCTAAATCTCTAATAATACTCCCATTTAGAAGTATGTCAGGTTTACCTTTACATACATTTTGTTTGTGTGTGTGTGTGTGTGTGTGCGTGTGTGTGTGTGTGTGTGTGTGTCTTATCAGCTTTTCCTAGTGTGCAATATGAATAGGAAGCACAGAGAAACAGAATAATTCAGAGGATTTATTGTATAAGGACCTTACCATAGCATTACGGTTACATTCCAGTATATTGTGTACCAATGAAGGAGAATATTTGTAGCTCAGGATTGAAATGAGGTGCTCTCTGAGCTTGCTTGTTTCTTGCAGACGTTTCATTACCCTAATTAGGTAACATCATCAGTGCTAGCGAGGAGTGCTGTTTGCTGTCATTTTATATTCTGGTGACTTGCCTGTCTATGTGAGTGGGGGCGGTCTCAGAGATTCTTTGGTTGGGCTGTTTGTATTGTGTAACTTGCTCAGTATCGGATTCTTTCTCATAGCCACTCGCCCTTGAGCTGACCGAAAAAAATTGTAGTATAAAAGTTGATGTCTCTTATTAGATCATTGATCCTTATTAGATATAGGGCACATTAATCAGAGATTAGAGAACCCCTCCAACTTTGTTTCCTTCCCTCTCACATGCCACTGCAAGAATTTCAACCTGTCAGTCTTTATACATACCCTGTTTCCCTGAAAAAAAGGACCTCCCTAGATAATAAGCCCAATCGGGCTTTTGAGCGCATGTGCTAAAATAAGTCCTCCCTGATAATATTGCAAGACAGCAACAGCCATGAGGTGACCAAGCTCGCCGCCTCCTGCACCTCAAAAATAATAAGACCTCCCCCAAAATAAGACCAAGCACTTATTTTTTGAGGGGGAGGTCAAAAGAAAATAAGACCCTGTCTTATTTTTGGAGAAATATGGTAGGTTGGGGAGATTGGTCACATTTCCAAAATGGTAGATAGAGCTGTGTGTTCCAAACTTGTGCTCTTTCAGGGAAGGGCTTTTTTGGAATAGTGCCATAATATTTAATTCATGTTCTAAAGAAGCCCAACTCTCAACTGTCCTTGACTTACAACAGTTTGTTTGGTGACTGTTCAAAGTTACAATGGCACTGAAAAAAAGTAACTTATGACCATTTTTCACACTTATGACCATTACAGTATCCCCATGATCACATCATCTAGATTCAAATGCTTGGCAACTGGCTCATATTTATGATGGTTGCAGTGTTTTGGGGTCGTGTGATCCCCTTTTGTGATCTTCTGACAAACAGAATCAAAGTCAGATTCACTTAACAACCCTGTTAATTAACAACTGCAGCAATTCAGTTCATGGCAAGGAAAGTCATAAAATGGGACAAAATTCATTCAACAAATTTCTCACTTAGTAACAGAAATGTTGGGCTCAATTATGGTCGTAAGTCGAGGACTACCTGTAACAAGGTTTCCTATTCCAAAGAATGACTGTTGATCCAGCCCAATCAACAACTGGAAAGGTCAGGGAGAGATGCACCATGAAGCTTCCCTTCCCACAGATCAGGGGTGTCAAACTCTTGTCATCATGGCGATGTCATGTGACATATCCAGGGGTGGACTGTTATGGGTTTAACCGGATTTGGGAGAACCCGCAACTAACATTATGCCCGGTTCGGAGGACCTCCAAATCCCACCCTTCGCTGTCCCCTCAATTCCCCATCCCGGACACTCCTCCCAGGAGTCTCCATGCAGTCCATTTTGGATGCGAGGTAAGTTCAGGGCCCACGCGGAAGCTCGGGGAGGGGGAAAAACGGGGCTCCTGGAAGTCCTCTGGAGCCTGGGAGAGGCAGTTTTCGCTCTCCCTAAGCCTCAAGGAAAGCCTCCGGAGCCTGGGGAAAGTGAAAACGCACACCCACACATACAAAACGCCATGGTGCAGGAGGCTAACTAGGCCATGGCCACGCCAGGCTGGGAACCTATTACTGAAATTTTTGAAGCCCATCCCTGGACGTATCGGGACTTTTTCCCCCTTCACTAAACTGGATATGAGCGTGATGCATCCAGCCCCTGGGCCGCGGGTTTGACAGCCCTGCCACAGATTGTCAGTATGAACTGGGGATTGGTTTGAAGACCTAGAATTACAAGGGGGGGAATCCTGATTTTAAAGAACTCGACTGTCCTGCCGCTCAGAGTAGAATGAGCATGAAAAAGTATGCCACATATCAAAGTGAATGCTCACACAAAGCTATCATTCCCAATAAGTGCCAGGCACGATGCCACCATTTGGTGGTGGTGGTGGGGGAAGGCTCATCTGATTACCCCACCAACAAACAGGTCAGTGAGGTATGTTAAATGGTTTCCAGGCCGAAACTCTTTTGGAGGAAAATAATATTTGATTCAGGAATCTCTAATGATGGTGCTTCCTTAGGTGTGGCCTGAAGATGATATGAATGCAGTGTCATGAGGACTCTGTAGAAAGAAGAGGTTGCCAAGGCTTGTTTATGCTGTACATACGAAGAAAGGATTATAGTAGCATTGTCCTTGGTTACCAATGGTAATTGAGACTGGAAACTCTGTCTCTAACAAAGCAGTTACAAAGTGCAATGCCATATGACTCTGCTGACTTAAGATTGCAGTTCTAGGTACGGCCATTTGGAAAATCCCAGGCAATGGTTAGGTGCAATGACATGTGACCATCTTTTATTTATTAAATTTAAATGCTACCACCTCACTCTGAAAAACAACTCTGGGTGGTTTCCCCCATTGACTTTACTTGTTGGAAACTGGCAGCAAGCTGACAAATGGTGATCACATGACCATGAGGATGCCGCAATGGACACAACTTTGAGGAGCAGTTGTAAGTCTCCTCATTCCGTTTCATTGTACTTGTGAATGGCAACTGAACAAATGACCACCTGTACTACACTTCTACAGTTTCCTGGTGTGTCCCTTGTTTATGTTGACATTTGTAGATACTTGCTGTTCAAAATCATATTAAGAAAAATCAGATCTATAGAGGTTTGAGGTTTTTCTGTCTAAAGTGAATTAATTGATTAGATATAGAGGAAAAATGTTATATTTTGATGCTCCATAAAATAATTTGTTGTCTTAAGAATAACCATTAGGCACTCACTTTTCCCTTCCTATATATATCAGGAGAAACCATGCTATTTTAACTCTGGTAATTTTTTAAAAAAGCTGAAATGGTCAAACTATGGCCTTTAGATATTGAGTTTCTGTAGAAGGAAAATCATACTTGGGATCAACAAGGCTACGTTTGTATGATCAGTAAGATTACATATTTTTTACTTGCAGGTTACTAGTATTGGAATCAACAGCTCCGATTGGAGATATGTCTCGTCCTCATCACATAGCATCAGTTGTTCCAAACCGGTATCCCCGTTGGTTCACTCTGAATCACATTGAATCTCAGCAGTGTGAATTAGCATCAACTATGCTAACAGCAGCCAAAGGTACAATCCTGACAATGAACCATCTGAAATTTTAGTTTGCTAAAATGTAAATTATATTTAGTTGATCAATGTAACAATTTTTGTGTGAACAATGTTCAGTTTGTCAGCTTTCCCCTTCTTCTGTTGCATTCCCAGAGAGAGTAAAAGGTTTCATATGTATTCAGCCACATTTTATCATGTTTCAACCATAAAGGGCAGTATGTAAGTGATCTATTTGCCTTGTTCCATAAACCAGGATGAGTAGCTCCTGGCTTCAGCTTCCTCTTCCCAGATCACAGAGCTGAAAATAAGTGACATGGTGGTAGGAGTAAACTCAGGACAAAAGATACACTTGGCAAAAAGTTAAAGCAGAAGTTTCTGACAAGGGAAAGAAAGTTGTGAGAGTTTGCATAACATCCAAGCCAGACCATATGTGTTTAAAACAAAAGGAACATAGTTTTTTGACAGGTTGTTTGTTTTAGAAATGTATAAGGCTGCCAAACTTTATAACTCTCGGCAGCATACAGTAAAACAATCATAAAATGCGATTTAAAAAACGCAACTAAATTCCAGAAGAAAAACAACCATTAAAAGACAATCAAAGCCGAAGGAAGGCATGTTTAGAGACACATCAAAAGATCGATATGTCAAGGAAACCATTTTGGGTTTTTCTTCTAAAAAGTAGCACATCTTATCAAAACAAGATGGCAGGGTGCTTGGTCAGTACAAAGGTAGCTCAGAATAGAAACTGAACCATCTTGAATGAGATTACTTTTCCCTAGAAAATTCAAGTTTGCAGTTCGAATGCATTCTTAACTTCAATCGTGAATTATTTTTGTACAGTTTTTCAGTGTACCAAGTCTGTTTTATCCTAAAGGTGTTAGATCTTACTGTGGTAGCACCTGCCTTAGTTACAATTCATTTTTGGAGTTTTGTAAAGCATTCTAAATGGGGCTGCCTTATAATTAAAAAATTCAGCTAGTTGAAACTAGTCAAACAATAATAAGCTGAATTACTGAATGAGATTGGTTATAGGGTTACCCACTTCCATTTATTTCATGGCTATCAGCTTTCTTGCTCTTTCTTTTCTTTTTGGTCATCATTCATTGTTGCTTATCACTTCACAACTTAGGCATGGGTTGTTAAAAAAAAATTAATTCCCTTATATGAGTCCACTCAGTTTTAATCTAACTTGGACTCCCAACTGTAAGAGTCGCATATCAGTTGATAGAAATACATGGAGAGCCTTTGAGATAGTTGATTCTATAATTTGGAAATCTCTGTAAACATAGTTTAGGCTAATTGTCACATGAATCTTTTTAAAAAAAGTATACTTACCGTATTTTTGGAGTATAAGACGCACCTTTTTTCCTCAAAAAAGAGGCTGAAAATCTGGGTGCGTCTTATACATCGAATACAACATTTTTTTTGCCTCCTGAGGCTCCGCCCCTTCACCAAAATGGCTGTGCATACTCTTATGGGGGCTGGGAAGGGCAGAAATGAGCAAAAAACGGCCCATTTCCCCCACCCAGCCTCCAGCAGCACTCTATAAGCCTCCATAAGGCTATGCATGCATTTTTTTTGACAAATGGGCCCGTTTTTGTGAAAAACAGGCAGTATTTTGCTCATTTTTCCCCTCCCCCCAGAGCACTCTGCAAGCCCCCACAAGCCTATTCATGCCTTTTTTAAAAAATGGGCCCGTTTTCACGAAAAACAGGAAATTTTTGGGAGGTTTGCAAAGTGCAAAAATGTTTTTTTTCCTTTTGGAATGCTCTTTAACTGATCGATGAGAATTACATTGATCAAGTACTGTGCCAGCAGAAACAAAGTCTTAGGTGCTGGAGATTGTCAGCGATTTCCTTCTCTGTCTCTGTCTTTCTCTCTCTCTCTCTCTTTCTCTCTCTCTCCCTCCCTCTATCTACCTACTTATCTACCTACTCTCTCTCTCCCTACCTATCTACTGTATTTCTCTCTATATATATATTTCTCTCTCTCTATCCCTCTAGCTACCTACCTACACTCTCTTTCTCTCCCTACCTACGTACTGTATTTCTCTATCTCTCTATGTCTCTCTATTTCTCTCTCTATATCCCTTTATCTACCTACCTACCTAACTACTCACTCTCCCTACCCACCTACTGTATTTCTCTCTCTTTCTCTCCCTCTCTAGCCCTCTATCTACCTACCTACCTTTTTTTTAATTTGCCTCTTCAAAACCTTGGTGAGTCTTATACTCCAAAAAATACGGTAGTTAAGACCAACATCAGCAGATATGCCAATTTAAAAGCCAAACACATGCCTGAATGCAATGTATTTTATTTGGCAGTTATATATTAGCTAACCAGAAAGAAAAAATCTTGTCTCTGACTTGAGTTATTTTAGTATTTATCAGGGAACACTGGAAAAATATTTTGTACAAATAAATGCAATCCACATTCGCTCACCACATTTCATATAAAAGTATCCACCTTTTTTGAGCATATTGTTTCTTTCTCATAATTTTAAGATACAACAACTGCCAAAAAATGTGCTTGCTAATCCATAATGTCCATGAAGAAAGAATGAAATTATTTAGTTGGAAATTGTTGCTTGACCAGGAAGCAACTATGGTCAGCTAATACACTATCACTTCTTTTAGTATTTATGCAGATTTTTCCTGATGGACTCTGCAGTGAATTTTGTGAACTAACAAGGATAACACTCTTTCTCTTTCTCAGTCTCTTTATTAGGGTGGAAGAAGATTCCAACCAAAAGGTTCAGATTAGGAAATTCCTAAATATTACTTCTATGCAGGATAGAATGTACATTCGTTTATTTTTCACATTTCTGAACATCCCATCTCCCTCAAAGAGAGATATATTTGAGTGCATAGATCAGGGGTGTCGAACTCACTTCACAGTGGTGTCATGTGACATATCATGACTTTTCCCCCCTTCACTAAAGTGGGCATGGGTGTGGCCAGTGCGTGACGCATCCATCCCTTGGGCTCTGAATTTGACATCCCTGGCATAGATGATCAATCATAAATAAATAGTTAAAAGCAAACAGACTAGTTCCCTGAATTGGTATCTCTGAGGCTGTGAGGCAGTAATTAAATTTACCTACTTAGCACATTATTGATTTCTTCATTCCTTCCATATTTTGGTATTAATTTCTTTACATTAAAGTATCCCTCATATATACCCTCAGAATTCTTTTTTGCAGATTCTATGCAAAAAGTTTGATTAAGGAAGAAATATACTCTTAATTCATAAGGTGCATTGACCTTATGAATTAAGAAAGCTTTTGATTTGTTAACTTCAGCTTAGCCTTAAATTTTCCTTTTATTTGCTAATGATAACAAACCTGTATGTAGTGCAGGTACTGATCCACTGCAGTACACTTGGGTATATTGTATCCTTTGTAAAATTAAAAGTCTTGACTGAACATGTTTTCACTGAACCATACTTTAGCAAATGTGTTAAGAAGCCTTTTGTCATAGTCATCTGTAACTCTTCCACCATATATCACAAGATTTATATAGGTACTGTATATGTTTAGAAATTGAAAATATAAATCTAGGTTATTTAAGCTTTTATATCTATTTGTAAAGATCATGTATTAGTTGCCTTTTTTATTCATACACATGCTTCACTCATTACTAATTTCATTTCCCTTTTCCGGACTGGATCCCCTAGCTGCACATAATGAGCTCTCTTATTTACCAGTGATACACTATATGCAGAATCTCCGAAATAAGTACATAAAATATACATTACAGTATCTGTCAGCTTCACTTGTTTTCATGTCATAAAAGTAGTGTTCACAGTTAATTCATTTCATCTTGTTTTTGCTGTTCTTGCAGGTGATGTTCGAAGGCTTGAAACAGTGTTAGAATCTATTCAGAAAAACATTCACTCCTCATCACACATTTTCAAGCTTGCCCAAGATGCTTTTAAAATAGCAACACTTATGGACAGTTTGCCGGATATTACCCTTCTAAAAGTCTCTCTGGAGCTGGGTCTTCAGGTATTTTTCCATCATGGAATTTTAATGTTGAAATTAGAGGGAAACAAATAACTTACACATATTCAGCTCTGGCTTGCTATTGCTTTCTTTCAATATGTGGGGGTTTTTTTGTTTTTGTTTTTAATTCTCTTCAACTTTGAGGTTTCCTGGTGTTGTCTAGTCCAAAGTCCAAAACTGTTTATCTTTTGAGGCCAGTCATAATTGGCTGATATTGCAGCAAGAATCATACCTGTTTGGATTAATCTTTCACAAACACACACACCTAGGCACACACACACCTACCCCTACCTACCTACCTACCTACTTTGGAACTGAAATTGTCTTAACCTGTGTTGAATCAATAAGTTGCTGCTCTGTGCAGTAGAATAAAATAGTTTAAAACTAGAAATGAATGAGATTAGTTGATCACCATCTCCCATTGGATCTGTTTTCCCAGACACTACCTGGGAATTCTGGGATTTGAAATCCACACATCTTAATGTTGGGGAAGTTGAGAAACACTGTGTTAGAGGAATGGGACAGTTTCCACACAACTGTCCTGTTCAGAGTTTGAAAGAGTAAAGGGGAGAAATGTTCATGGATGAAATCTTGCTGATGAATGGGGTTTATTGGATGCCACGCTTTGGACATTCAAATAACATTATATGGGTAGTTCTTGACTTACAGACATTTGTTCAGAGTTACAACACACTGAAAAAAGTGATGTATGACAGTTTTTCACACAGCATCTCTGTGATCACATGATGAAAATTCAGACACTTGGCAACTTGGCATATATTTACGATAGTTGCATTGTCCCAGGGTCATGTGATTGTCTTTGACAATCTCACAAGCAAAGTCAATAGGGAAGCCAGATTCACTTAATGACTGCAGGAATCCACTTAATAACTGTGGCAAGAAAGGTCCTAAAATGAGCCAAACCTCACTTAACAACTGTTTTGTTTAGCAATGGAGATTTTGTGCTCAGTTGTGATTATACATCGAGGATTATCTGTTCTTAATACAGAGAACATAGATGAATAGCAATGCACATTAATAGTTATGTGTATGTTTGTAATTTCAGTTCAGAAATAGAAGAACATTTTTAATAGGTTTACAAATAATACCAGAATGTGGAAAATACGCACAAGCTATCCACCTAGCAGCCATAAAAATGGCATCTAAGAAGAACAAGCAACAAAATGTGTGATCTAGCAAAATATAAAATTGCTGTAGAGCGTATGCTACATTTTCTGAGTTTTTCCCAGTCTGGATGATTTAAAGCAATTAAAGCTTCAATTGTATCAAAGAGAAATTGATGTTAAACTTTGTGGTGTATCTCCATCTCATTCATTCTAGAAGCTGAATTGTAAGAGTTGCTTTGATTCCATATCAAGAAATAAATATAAATAAGTAAGAGGTAATATTACATAACTCAAGTGAAAGAATACAGCACAAAGAATTACAAACATTAGAATTATTTCCTTCTCCTCATTTCTTTTGCAGTGCTGATGCATGACATAAGATACATTGATTACAAATATAATGGTTTGCAGCTGATCTAGATTAAAAATTTTACATAGTCACCACAATGTGTTTGGCTATTCAGAGCTAACATATTCTAAAGCAACAAAAATGTCTCAAGGGAAATATTTCTCTTTTAATAGGTGATGCGCATGACATTGTCAACGTTAAATTGGCGGCGGCGGGAAATGGTGAGGTGGTTGGTGACATGTGCAACAGAAGTAGGTATGTGTTGCCACTGATCTCTGCAGAATCCTGATTTAATTTGTGTGGTAAACAATATAATCACTTCTGGTGCATAAGAATTTGCATGCTGTTTTCGTCTTGATTGCATTATGTCATATAGATTTCCAGAGAAAATTGTAGCAGCAGTACATTAAAAAAACATGCTGGTTTGATGTTTTGGCCTTGGTCCAGTAATGTCACATAAATTGGGGATACAAAACGGTAGCATTTTGTACAGAAATGTAACCCTAGGCTTCTTTAATTACGTGAAGGAAATTTATCCAGTGCCTTTTCTATTTAAGATAGCAGAAATGGCTTGGAATGCAGTTCATAAGACTACAGTGGTACCTTGGTACTCAACTACTGTGAAACTCACCAAGTTTGATACTCAGCATTTTTTGATGTGAAAATTTTGTCCTGGTACTCATTGTTTGTTTGGCACTCAATGCACAAGCTAGAACTTGTGACTCACTACCTTATTCCTTATGGAAAAATGTGTTTGATACTTTGTTTTTGGTAATCATGGTACTTCCCAGAACCAAATAAGACTGAGTACTGAGATACCATCGTATAGAATTTTATCCACAGTGCATTTATAGCTATAAGGATAAATTATTTGTTATAGTTTGTTTAAAAACAACACCTAAAACATAATATTTGGATTTGCTATAAGGACCAGGGTGTAAAACTGAGGAATTTAAGATAGGTCTCTGATGTTCTAATGAAAAAGAAGTGTTCCCAACAATGGGCAAATTCTTAAAGTAAATTTAATTTGAGAAAGGATGTGGACTCTTCACACATTCTGCTGAGTTTTCTAACTAGTCTAAACCCCTGAACATAGTATTAATGTACCTAAAACTTACTTGTTTATATATATATAAACAATATATATATATATATTAATATATATATATATTTAACATTTATATATATATATATTTAACATTTGTTAATAGGCACAATAGTTTAGACCCATCAGCTGCAAGTAATTTCTAAGAAGCCCAAATCAGACCAGATTTCATTTGGACTGTAAAGGAATTTTTAATTGTAACTGTAAATTTTCCCTAAAATGAATTGCTCTTGTTGACCAATCTGGGGCTGAAAAATGGTAGCTTGTTAGGATTTCAGTTACTCCTTTCCCTTTCCTAATCTTCATAGCAAAGGAGGTATATCTGGTGATTTAACAGTATCCTATTGGCAAGCAAATTGCTTAATTTTGTTTTGTGGTACAGTTGTGTGTGTATGTGTCACTTCCATAAGGAAACTGTGATGCAATGCAAAGATCACTTTTGAGACATACGCAAGCTCATAAATAAATGAGGGTGTGTTTGTTTATGTAAATGAAGGAAAGCATTGAATGGAGCAGGAGAAAGGTGTACATGTATATGCAAGCGCATAGTACAACAGGACCCAGATGAGTAAAATGAGGACCTTTGGGTGTGGTTAGCTGAGCGCACAGATGTGTGCAAATTATTTCAAGCAATAATGAGGCACTCAAGCTGCCTATAAGCTTCAGTTTATAGACCCCCATCAGTCATTGTTCGACCTCACAGAACAACAAAAGGGCACTAAAGAAACCAGCTCATTTCAAACAGGGAATCTGGCTGTGACTATAGGCGAAGGTATTTCAGCCAGGACACAAATTTCTATTTTCCTGTTGAGATTATATTCAGTGCTATGTAGACATGTTCTGTCTTATTTGGGGGATGGAATGGTGTAAAAGGATGCCAGTTCCTTGGGGAATATGTCGGATGCTAGGACTTGTTTGTACAAATGTGCAGTGCTAGATTGAGAGTTTATTATAGTCTTGAGGGTTTTTTTTATCTGTAGCCATTCAGATCTACATGAGGCCTTCAACATTAAGTGGGGAATAGGCTAAAGTAGCAACAAGCAACAATCTCTGACAAATCAAGGAGACTGGGGCTGTAAATTGCTCTTTTTCTATTGAGAGCAATTGGGAAAGAGCTGCCATATCTGCTTAGAGAACGCAAATATTTTGAAACAACTTCAGGTTTGAACAGAGGGGGAAAGCTAGTCATTGTTGAGATTGCTGGATTAATTAAATTATTTTAAAAATTATTAGCCACCCTTCGAAATCAATGTTTTCTCAGGACAACGTATAGAAATTGCCTGATAAAAATTTGGAAGAAAAACACTTCACAATCCATAGAAACAACTAAAGGCAACCTAATGGGGTAAAATAAATAACAGGCTGATATACGCTACCCAGTATACCAGTGGTGAAGCGCTTAAGAGCAGTAGATGGCTACTGTCTAAACATTATCATATAAATTGATTAAAATGCCTGGCAGAGGAAAAGTATCTTGCTCGCCACTGAGAACTCTATAAGATCTGCAGCAGGCATGCTTATTGGGAAAAGTATTCCACAATAAGTGATGTGAAGGAATGTAGACTTGGTCTCAGAAATGGGGAAGGATTAATTGAGCTGTTAAGGGGAGAATTCCAGAAAAGGAGTCCTGAGAAAGAGAAAAGGGTAGGAAAGAAAGTTAGAATAATTCAATCTTGATTTTTCTTTGGGTTAGATAGAAACTCTGACATGTTTTCAAGGTTCTGTTATTCTATCCCACAAAAATAAGCAATTCCCACACCGAATGTTCCATAAGCTGGACTTCAAGAAGCTTGCTTCAATGGTTTAACTCAGTTCATCTTTAAGGTGCAGCCACTGGTCCCTTCACTCTGGAGTAATGGACCCAACCTCTCTAGCTGTGTCAAGGAAACATTTGCAGAACGATGCCCAACTGCCATATAGGTGGTTAAGCGTCCTATGGTGCAAGGACCTCCTATGGCATGTGAAGGCACATATGGATAAGCATGCAGACCACAAAACAAAAACCTCAGCCAGCATAGAAGAATGGTATGGTGGATGGTATCAAAAGCCATGAAGGGATCTAGGATTCTCAGTACCGTTTCCTGGTCTGAATCCCAATTGGAATGGTCTGCCTAATTCACTTCCACAAGTCCCATCCAAATCCTTTCATAAATCCATTATGCGTATGTCACAGTTAAAATACATTCACTTTCAAGCAATCAAGTTTTTTAACCTACTATGCAAGAATTCCTACAATCCTGCTTTTCTATTAATAAAGTCAAGGCTTGCCTGTGAGAAATAGGCATAATAATGGGATAGAGGGTGCGGGATGGGTGAAAGGGGGCCAAGGACATAGCAAGGAGAGGGGGGGGGGAAACTGTTACCAACTTCAACTTTGAGACTGATTTATACATCCCATTGATTAGCATGCAGGAATGTGCAAAACAGGTTGTTCAAATCATTTTAGGAATGTTTCTTGAAACTGTCCCTTCTGAAGCTGAAAAATTGTTTCCTATTCATAGCAGTGTCAAGGAAATACTTGCAGAACGATCAAAACATTTATTTTGAATGTTATTTTTTTAAATATTTACTTATTAGTATGAGGGTGGGAAGCAAAATGCTGTAATTTTGTTTTTCAACAGTACAAAATGAAAATTGCAAGAAAATTATGAAAAAAAAGGAATAATGATGAAAATTATTACCGAAAAAAAATAGGCGAAAGGGTTTGGGGGCAAGGCTCTTTTGAGTTCTGATTTTTAAAGTGTATGTTCCTTTGATGTTTTAGGCAGAATTATATTAGAATTTGCAGGTACCACTCTCCAGACAAATTGCAGGATAAATCCTTCAGACAAAGAGGTAGAGGAGTTTTGTGAATTATTTCAGCTGTGTCCTGTCTATTACGGCAAGAGAGGACAGCTGAGCTCTTGGGAGATGAGTAGAAGGTGGGAGAGATGGCAAGTTTACCAGATGCCATAGCATATTGGAGAGAACTGTAGAGTGCATGAAGGACAGTGCTATTGGCCTTGTGATACACAGGGTGTTGCCGTATCTGCTGGCACAGATGGCAGAAGCAGTTGCTGGACATACCACTTCCTGTTATCAGCAGGTAGTTCTGTTGGCCACTTGGTCCCACTGTTTCTCTCCCTGCTCTTTTCAAACTTGCTTTTAGAGAAGGTGGGAGGGGGTGTTTATGTTGTCGGTGCAGCATCTTTGTCTCTGTAGTACCAAAAAGTTTTCCATTCAAGTTGCTGTGCTTTTCTTCAGACAGCCACTGATTTGATAGAAATACCTTATTTCAGCTTGCTATTTGATTTTGAGCAGGGGATGTTTAATGAAGCTGTTTGGGTTTGCCAGTATATTCCAAAAGGAGCTTTGTGGGGAGGGGGGGAGTAGAGGATATTTCCATTTTAGAGAAGAAAGATGAGATTCTCTGATGCTGAATTCAATCATTGGTGCAGAGCACGCTGTGTTTTCAAAGTGCAGGTACCGTTGGAAGCTTCTGTAAGTGGTTCTCCCAAGTATTCAGCTTTTCAGCTTCAGTCTTTTGAGCCAGTCTTTGTAACAGATTTTTTTTTCCTGTGTCTTACAGGTGTGTATGCATTGGATAGCATCATGCAAAACTGGTTTACACTTTTCACTCCAACTGAAGCTACTAGTATTGTTGCTACCACAGTAATGTCCAACAGCACTATAGTCCGCTTGCATCTAGACTGCCATCAGCAGGAGAAACTGGCCAGCAGTGCTAGGACGCTTGCTCTACAGTGTGCCATGAAGGATCCTCAGAACTGCGCCCTCTCCGCACTGACCTTATGTGAAAAGGATCACATAGCTTTTGAGACCGCTTACCAAATTGTTCTTGATGCCGCTGCAACTGGCATGAGCTACACACAGCTTTTCACAATAGCACGATACATGGAACACCGTGGTTACCCTGTGCGGGCCTATAAACTGGCCACGTTGGCCATGACGCATCTCAACCTGAGTTACAATCAGGATACACACCCTGCCATTAATGATGTTTTATGGGCTTGTGCACTTAGCCACTCCCTTGGAAAAAATGAATTGGCGGCTATAATACCTCTGGTGGTCAAAAGTGTCAAATGTGCAACAGTACTGTCAGACATCTTGCGTAGATGTACTTTGACCACTCCTGGATTGGTGGGACTTCACGGAAGGAGGAACTCTGGTAAGCTCATGTCCTTGGACAAAGCCCCCTTAAGGCAACTCCTAGATGCCACAATTGGAGCATATATTAACACAACACACTCTCGGCTCACGCACATCAGTCCCCGGCATTACAGCGAGTTTATAGAATTCCTGAGTAAGGCCCGTGAGACTTTTTTAATGGCTCACGATGGACACATTCAGTTTACCCAGTTCATTGACAACCTAAAACAAATCTACAAAGGCAAAAAGAAACTGATGATGTTGGTCCGCGAACGATTTGGTTGACAAAAAGAGAAAAAGCGTGAATGGATGGGGGAGGGGGTGGGAGGGCAATACATTTTTACTTGAGCCTGCCTTTGTATCCTTTTTAACTTAAAACAGAGCCACACCGGTATTATATGTGTATAGTTCTATACTAAGTTTGCAAAACTAAAATGTCACATTGTGAAAGTATGTGTGTCCCCCCCCCCTTTCCTTTTCTGTTTTGTATGAAAGATTTGAGAGGCTTAAAAGAGAAGTTTGGTTTACACTGAGTCTATGTTGTCAAGTGGCAAAAGTCCACCAAGCTCTCCCATTCTTTCTGTCTAATCCACAGCCTCAAAACAAAAGAGAGAGAGAGAGAGAGAGAAAGAGAGAAAGAAAGAGAGAGAGAGAGAGAGAAAAAAGAAAAAAATATATTGCAATGGCTTTAAAAAAAAAAACCAAACAAAAACACCTCCATCCTGTGATAAGTACCTCGAATGGCTCCAGCTTTACTCTTTTGTAATTCATCCTGAACATTTCAGCTTATTTAAATGAACCAACCACCCAAATAACGAATAGTTTGAAAGGCTGACCCACGTGGCTTTGCAGTGCTTGTTCATCCAGAAGCATGGCACAACACAACGCTTGCGCATGTGGAAACTTAGCGACTGTCAACATACATTCTCAGGGATTTATCTGAAAAACATAAAATTAAATTAAAGAATGAGAGCATTTATTGTACTGTATATATATATATATTATAGTATATGTCGGAATATTGGGAAAAAAATATAACATTAACTAATTTATTTAAAAAAATCTATAATGCGAAATACTTGAAGCTGCAGTAGCTTGGTTTTGAACAAAAACAAGGAAACATATGAAAAAGATCAAGTGCTTCTAGCTACAGGGGTTGGCTCAAGTGACGAACTGAACATGCTGGGCATCTATGCAGAGCCACCTTTTGGATTGCATTCTTGGATGGAAATTAGGGGAAAATTATACGTATATATATATATATTTATACAGATGCGTGTATGCATATGTATATGTATACACACTTGTGCACTTGTAACAGGCACTCTAGTAAAGAGGGGACAACACAGCCAGAGCAGCAAGCCTTAGCATTAAGAATACAGTATGCCAGATTTGGGGTTTGTGCCTCCTAGCCTAGAAAACTTAAATATCTCTTTTTTCATATCATAGGATGGCTATGGATAATAATGGACCACATTGTTACTACTTGTAAACTTAGCAGTATGCATGCAAATTATCTTGGGTTCCAGTCCCTGAAATGCCTGGCTATTTTGTTGAAGCGATTTATTTTACCACTTCTCATAAAGTATATTACAGAAGCAACAGTATACTGAAAATGGCTTTGGCATCTAGCCAGTTGTTTCAAGGGCCTGGTTATCCCATGTGATTTGTGTGTGTTGCCCTTCCGTCATTGGTGGTAGCCGTGTAGTACATCCTTGTCTGTAGCTACCTGCAGTGTTTTCCAAATGATTGACATAATACATTACGCCTTTGCAGGAGCTAATAATAAGCTAATCTTATTCTGCATAGGTATTTGACTTTGTGCAGGACAGAAAGTTGGTATGACTGTTCTACTTTTCAGTTAGTTTTTTTAAAAAAAACAAACAAACAAACCAACGAAGTATTTTTATTTCCTCTAGAATTACTTCAGAAGAAAAGCAGCCTTCTATCTTGCCTTGTCTTAATGCTTTAAAATAACCAAACTGGAGATCTAACTACCAAACTGTTCATTATATTCTTATTACCAATTTTGGTTACAGTATAGTGTCTTTTACTTTAGCTGATGGTTCTGTACCTTTGTGCATTTAATGCATTTTTTTTAACGTTTTGGTGCAAAAGTTGTCCCGTGTCTCTTGTTCTTTTCACTAGAGAACATGCTAGAGGTATGTTTGTAGATTTTTTTTTATTTAGAGGGGAAAATGTTCCATGCTCTCCATTTTATTTATTATACTAGGAAAAAAAAGGTTGTACTTCCTCACCCATGTAAACATCCTCATGAAGTTGAAAGTAATTAAGATTTGATACACTGATATCAATTTATTTATGTAACTAAATCACTGTTTTATAAACTTGTTAATGATCAACAATTCTTTTGTTTTGATTAAAATTAGTTTTTTGAAAGTTGATTTTAGACTCCTTTATGTGTCTGTTGCTTGTGCATGGATACTGAAAATGTTTCTCTGAATGGACACTTCCTTTTTCCTTACTTTGTTAGAAACTAGAATCACAAGTTAGTAATGTGCATTTTGACCAAGTATGTAGTATGAACTTATTGTGGTTTATTTTGGTTATATCTTGGAAAGCCAGAAAAAAATGACTTGTGTAAAATCATGGTTCCATAAACAGTTGATAAGCATAACATGTAAGCACAGCCTTATCACCAATGAAATATTTCATAGTTACTAGGAAAGCAATCTTGACTCCTCAATACTTGCGTTGAGATGAAATTCTAAGCCATCATTAAACCAACGTGCAAAGAGAGTTAACTGAGACAAGAAATTGCCAAAGAACCCAGGTTTAACTTTGCACCATTTGTCGCAACCAAGTAAATAGTTATAGCTTATCAATTCAGTACATATATGATGTGCACACACAGACACATACTTGTAAGCTGCTAGCGTAGGGCTTCTAGGATAGAAACCAGGTTTTACCTGAATCATGGTTTTCGTAGTCCGCTCTTGCATTACAAAAAGAGGAACTTCACAAATGCATTAGAAAATTGGGGAAGTAATTCATCTATCAATAAAATCTGTATTGGACAAATACAAGATCCATAATTAAAATTGCAGACAGTACTTTACATGTAAGCATTTTTATTCAAATAGATATTCATTTGATATTCTATATCTTGGACAGACATATAAAGATAAATATAAAAACAAGTGCAGTAGAAAAATCTTAGCAGTGTGATCTAGTGTTTAATACATTAGACTACAAGCTAGGAGAATGTGAGCTCTAGTCCTGTTTTAGGCAAACATCCAACTAAGTGTCTTAGATACAGGTACAGATTAACAGAGTTGGAAGGGACCTTGTAGATCATGGAGTCCAAGCCCAAGCAGGAGACCCTACACCATTTCTGACGGATGGCAGTCCAGTCTCTTCTTGAAAGCTTCCAGTGATGAAGCTCCCGCAACTTCTGAAGGCAACTTCTGTTCCATTGGTTGATTTGTCCACACAGTCACCAGGAATCAACACTAATTCAAAGAAACAAGAAAAGAAAAATATTAACAATGCAATCCAATGTGCAGCATCTTAATTCAAGAGTAAGCATATCAATGGAACTTCAAAATTTTTGAACATTTTGATGCAGTTAAGCCTTAGAACCCAGCATTGTCATGTGAAACATTGAGAATCGAAATCTCAGATTCAATTGCTGTATCATTTTTAAAAAAAACAGTTAAATGACATGGGCATTTTTCTATATACTATATGTTAGTGATCAAGACAAGAAAAATGAGTTCTTTTTCATCTATTCCAATTTAATCTTGTGAAATTTCGAGCACCCACAAATCTCGTCCAGATTTCTCCACTTGAGTTGATAAGATAAATATGGTTATAATTAAAATGACAAGAAAGATGTAGCAATGTACTGAAAACCTCTGTTCACCTGCATACGTCCGTATAGTACATGGAAACAAAACATTTTTTATTAAAAAGAATAAAAGCCACTTATTTTCTGCCAACTAACAACCAATAGTCTTGTAAATCTTTGGAAGAGTTTACATTGCTAAATGTTTTGTTTTGACAGTGTTTCTGCAGAAAATAGTTCAGTTTTATTTGTTATTTAAAGAGTGGGTAGACTTTTGATTCTCAAGAATTATTTATTAGCCCACAATATTATGCAACATAGTGAAGAAAAAAATAAATTCAGACACTTAAAACCATGCTATTTATAAGTGCTGAAATGGAGACAGTAGATTGAACACAAAATTGGTTTAGTGTCCTTGTAAGATAATACCTGATTGCAAAGGATAAAGGTGATGTTAGTTCCATCCAACTTTGAAAGCATAAATAAAACCAATAAATCTGAGTAATGTGAAACATGGTACAGTCTTCTGGGTTAATTTGACTGTTCCTAATAAAAATGTCACCAACCATGACTTGGACAAATCTAAAATAATATGTTGATAGCCAAGTTTTGTGCAGTGGTTAAAAATGTTAGGTTAAGAGCTGTGATTCAGTTCTCTCTCACCTTAGGCAGGAAGCCAGCTCGGTGACCTTGGGCCAGTTTCTGTCTCTCAGCCTTAGGAAGGAGGTAATCACAAATCACTTCTGAAAAACCTGGCCAAGAAAACTGCAGGGACTTGTCCAGGAAGTCTCCAGGAGTCAAGACTGATTTCAAAGATGCACCTATTTACAGACACACAAAATACGTGAAATAAATATTATAATGGTAGTTGGAAAGTTAGATAAATGGATGTGGAAAAAACAGATTAGGGGACAAATTGTAGCTTGGCAATCTTTGTATTTCATAATGATGTTTGTCTCCCATACTTTATGAAAGGTACTTTTTACACTCTTTAGTAACAAGGGACACTGGTTCAAAATATAGCTGACTTCGTTGCTTACCATGAATTCTAGCTGTAATTTCACTATTGGCTTTATCTGGCTTTGTAGGTTACTAGTCCAAAATGTAGCCTTTTTGTCATCTGATTTGAAGTGCTTTCTGTTGGGCAAGTTTCAGATTTTCTTTTTCTTTTTTTTTGCCTTTTGTCTGCATTTTATCCACTTAATGTTACCCCTCTCTTCTTGGAACAAGTCCTTTGCTGACAATTTTTATAACCTCACCCACCTAGAATGGAACTCTTCAATTTCCTTCTCATTCTCTTCTACAGCACTGTAAACAATGGAACCTGAAATGTGATGTTTTCTCCAAACCTAGACCAAAACGTTGTACTGCTTTGCTTATATGTACTCTGTTTTACTTGCACATTTTTGTCTGATTCTCAGTTGTAGGGGAGAAGCCTTAGAATAATATTCCAAAGCAATTTGATTACATTCCTACTAGTCCTACTATTTTAGTGGGCCACACAAACATACCCACTGATGTGGATTTCACTCCATTTTACAAGAATTATACAAAAACAAAGTATAAAAATGTCAGAAAACTATGTTTATCTGAAAATCAATATAAAATAACAACTGAGAATCAATATTGATGTATCGGATCTCATTAAACCAATGGAGACCATCAGAAATAGAAAAGAGCCTGAGATGATAAAGACATACCGTAATGTGTAATATTTGTCCTTTTTTGGACCTCTTCTCCTATCTCATGCCAGTGAATTCTGGGAGGATCTAAAAGAAAAGATGAAAATCCAATGGAAATAAGAGTGGGCATCTAATTTCTGGAAATATTGTTTTCCACACTGATGATGTTACCTAGTTCAAGTAATGAAACATCTGCAAGAAAACAACCAAGCTCAGAGAGCACCAAGGACTTCTCCTTTCAACCATGTGCTACAAATATTCTCCTTTATCAGTATGCAAACACTAAATCCAACCATTTCACTTATCTCTGTAGATACGCTCTGTAAAATGCCATCATTAAATAAATCAATAAAGCAACCATTGCTATAAATGCACTTCTTTATTTAGACTTTGCGAAAAATGCAAATTCCTGATGATAAAATAACCTTACTGTTCTTTATCTTCATCTGGCAGTTTTGGAACAAGAAAGGGCCAATAATCTTTGTCAGCTCTGTACAACTGCATAGCGTTATGCAGTCATTGTAGGAGAAGAACCTAATTAGACATAGTCCATAGCATCTCCTCCACCAACCATTGTTATTAAAATGCATAAGCTTTCATGAAGTATGTTGCAGCTCACAAAAGCTTATAATAAAAATGGTTGGAAAATCTGCTACCAAATGGCTTCCAATTTAGAGCTGTGCAGTGGTTTTGCAATAGCTCTTAGGGCTCTGCCCTTGGGTTTTCTTTCCCAGTTAGCAATGCAGGTGTGCAAGCATTTACACAGCAACAGGCCTAAGTGACTTCTAAAGCAACTGTACAAAGAAGTGAAACTCTGCTTTGAACAAGCTCCCATTGATTGCAAAGGATCATTCTATAACACTTTTCCACATTGATGGAAAGTGGGACAAATGGATTACATTACAGAGAAGCGGTCAAGGTAACTAAGAATCCTGAAGCAATTCCTTTCATGAACTCACAGGCCCACTGGAATATGTTATGGATTCTCTCTTAAATTTTCTTTTCATTTATTAAAATTTATTAAAATGCTGTCAGATATTCCCTTTACTCCCATTGCAAAGGATGCCTCTACCTCTATTTTGTCCTTTCTGAAACAATATCCAAATAAAACATTCAGCTGCAGTAGTTCTTCATTTTTATTTCCTGAGAAAACCTAGATGCACATAGACCTCGTAAAATAATAATAATACTGGGCACTGTTTTGCTTGGTCCGTTACCTCATGCAGTTCCTGATTTTCTTAACATCATCTGTCACATGTCAGAAGAGGAAAGAAGCCAGCAAAGGCAAGCAAAATTACCCAGGTTCATGGGTGCTCCAAACTGCCACATTGGATGTTTCTTAAAATCCAGATCCAGAGAATAGAACTGTGGATCAAAATGGTTTAGAATCAGGGGTGTCAAACTTATGGGTCATGGGCTGGATGTGTCACGTGCTGTGACGTGAGTTTGATACTCCTGGTTTAGATGCATGGATAGATTTTGCCTGAAAATGGCAGTATTATGTCTGGAAATAGAACTGGAGATGGAGCATGTACCATTCTGGAGTAGTATTTAGTTGTTTTGTTTTCAACTTGTCACTAGATTTATATTGAATGTTTTCTGTAGAACAGGTGTGTCAAACTCAAGGCCCGAGGGCCGGATCTGGCCCACAGGGTGCTTAGATCTGGCCCATGGGGCTGCCCTAGAAACAGCAAAGGACTGGCCTCCTACTGCTCTCTGCCAGGGAAAACAGAGCTCATGGGGGCCATGCATGGAGCTCCATTTTCACTGGCGGAGGGTGGCAGGAGGCTGTCGTAGCTGAAAATGGAGCTCCATGCATGGCCCCCATGAGCTCTGTTTTCCCTGGCAGAGAGCAGTAGGAGGCCAGTCCTTTGCTGTTTCTAGGGCAGCCCCATGGGCCAGATCTAAGCACCCT